TCAATAGAGTGGTCCAAAGCATAATTAAATTATGTCATGTCTCATTAAGATCGCGAAGCTAGGTGTGTTTAAAAACGACTAGGATTGCAGCCGGTCACTGTTTCTCGTGGTTTAGTATGTTTTTGCTCTATTTCGTGAAGTATGGACTACTCTGATGATGATTTATTTCATAGTATAGACTAAAGTTTTATCGGGGTCGCAGGGCGGTGAGTCGAAGACTTCTTCGCATGATACAACAATCTTCCCTATGCGGCAATCCTCCTTGAGTTTTTGGTGTGACCACATCCTGAATTCCTTCCAACCAACTTTTACTTCGACAATGAAAGTTATGCCATTATCTCTTTTGCTTTTTTTCAATTAGCAAAGCTATTGACTGCTATTTCTAAAAAATATAGTTTTTCGAACTCATCTACTATTTAGGCTCTTTAGTATTTCTTTATTTTTAAACTCTTTTTTTTCTGTCTATTGAGCACTGTTTTTGCGATGTAAACTCATGCTAGCAGCCATTCATATTTCATCATCCTTCTGCATATTGATGTTGTGCTTACTTGGTATTATTTTTTATATCATGATCTATAACTATCTTGTTTCTCTACAATGTGATAGGATTATTCTGAGCTTCTTATTAGGAAATTTAATTCATTTTTATGACTCATCCTTATAAATATAGGTCACGCAGCCGGCACCGATTTAAGAACTTACGAACTTAAAATCTCCGAGGAAGAGGCATCTCTTTCGAGGGTAAGTTTTCATCTCTTAATTTCCTTAATTAATCTATCCAATTTTGATAGTCTTATCAGCCAAACTTGTTATTGACATTGCCTTGTTCAATCCATCTTGCAGTCATTTACTCATTTTTATGTTGTTGAAATGTTAGATCTTTTTTTCTTTCTATTCAGCTTGAAAATTATTCCAGATCCCGGTATTGAAAACTATAAAATTATTTGCTAGCTTAATTAGTTTCTCAGAATTTTTTATCTATTATATCGTTAAAGTTTAACAGCACCATTTAAACAAGTGCTTTTCCTTCGGAAGCCCATAAAAAAGCGCAACATTACATCGATGTGAAGACCTATATTTTGTATTGAAGTACATAGTGAAGGGATTCGAAGGCCACTACCAGAGGACGTCGGCTGTTTCGCGTTGTAATGTAGCCATTTGCCTCTCATGTTGATGCGATTAACGAGGCATCCTATTATTTTTTGGGCGAGAACTGAGTCCAAAAAGAATTAGTGCTAACTTGAGGCTTTTTTATGAATAAATCCCAACTCTGACGATGTTCGTTACATGACGAACGAAAGCTTTTCCAGTCTTCGCCCGAAACATTGGAGGATGTCTCGTGGACGGCATCAACCTGAACGTCGTACTAATGCCAAACGGCTGAAAAGTACAACGCCAATAAGCCGATGTTTTCTGGTTAGATTGACATACGAATCTCTTCATGTACTTGCATGCGGAATGAAAGTCTTCATACCAGTCTTATCTCAGGATATACTTAAAAACTTGCATTCTCTTCGCATACGCAATATTACATTTAATCTTGCTTTGGCTCTATTTTTCAAATTTATCTTTCGTTTCTCAATACTTTTCTCTTGCCAGTTTGATGCTTCATTCTTTTCTGACATTTGAATTTCATGGGCATTGTTTTTAGCATTCCCGTCTGTTTGACTATACCTCTATTCCTGCTCCATGGAGACGCAAAGCCGAGGAGACAGCTAATCTTCCTGATTGGTGTCTGGCCGACGTCTTTATCCGCATTCGCCAGATAATCGGACGCCCACACGACGCTGGTCTACCAGTGACATCAATCGAACCTCCTGGAACACGTATACACTCTATCAAGCAGCGACAGAATGATCGCTTGCGGAGTCATTTAGTAGCAGGACAACGAGCTAGTATGCAGTTATGGCATGTGGCAAGGACCCATTATTCTGAACTAAATGAACTTCTGTACGTTCTTGAGTCAAACCTTTAAAAATTCGACTTTTGATTGATAAATCATGCTTCCCGTTTCTTTGGCTTAAAGAATATTTCAAAGACTCATTTTAATAGCGAATATCAGATAGTTTTTTTATGATAGCAATATACCAATCATTGCACAGCTCATTAGATTTGCAATTCACCTAGTAGATAATCACATTTATTCCCTAACCATGAAATACTTTACGCATTGAACATAGATATGAGGACCAAGATGTTGTGGCTTCTATTTTAATTGCAGTCTCTTTTCGATATATATAAGTCTGACATCGTTTTTGTAACTTGGTCATGCTGCCAGGGCGACTTAGCTGGGCACACCTTTTTCGAAGTCCTCTTTTATAGTAGTTATCATTATTTTAACATCAGACTGTCGACTCGATGCATTCCCAGACACTTCACCGGCCTCATAAATGAGTCTTGTCATTTTCATTACCAAGCTACTACTCGCCAAAGAAATCATTTCCTTGAATAGCCCTGTCGAACGATTATGTTTCTTGATAAGTCGTAGCTTAGTCCCGATAATGACAAGACTCATCGACCATGTCGGCGAAATGTCTTGGAATCTACCAATTACTGGTTCCGATTCTGGGGATTATGATTATTATGATAGCAGAGGACTTCGGCCAACAAGACCAAGTTGCGAAAACGAGGTAAGGCAACTTCCTTACGCATTTCATTATCATCTATCCTTTATAGTTATTGTAGTTTTTTTTATTTTCTTAGCCAGAAAATATCACGTGTTTTACTTTTTATCTTGAGGCCTAGAAAAATATCTTAAAGGAATTTTATAAACACTTCCCTACCTTGTTTAACTGTTTAATTGTTTTTGATTTTATCTACCTTTCCATATTTACTTCATCAGTCCGTCTCTGCTTTGCTCAAAGGAACGTGTAATCGCCTCTACTCCTCGGATCCTCGTACCCTCCACTCGATTGTTTTCATCTCCAAGAGCAGAGTATCCTACTCTCTCAATTTGGCCTATGCCTTCACTCATGTCCTTGTCTTTTTCCTCTGCACTCTTGCCTGTTTCATCAAATGGAAGCTATTTAGAGGCCTCTCTTACAAGAGCCAACTTTATTCTTTATCGACATTCACCTTCTGCTAGATGGTTATGCCGTCTTCCACACATTCACCTGAATTTGGTATATCAGGCGAATGTAGATCATTATAGAGCCCCGCTGACTCGGCTGATTCAGGGATCTGGTGAGAATAAGAATGCTTCTTGAGCTCTTGGTTATTCATTTGATAATACTTCAATTTACTTTTTATTTTACCGACTGTTTACAATTCTTTCTTCTTGTACATCTCACTGTATGGCATTTTTAGACATGGATTGGCAGTGCTGATTTTATTTTTATTTTATTTTATCATGATACCATCTAATGATAATGACTTTTCTGTTTTTCTTTTAGGAAAGTTTGCTGGCCTCGACAACCTTTTACGCCAACTGATAGGCTGTAATGACCCTCTAGATTCATGTTCAATTACTTCTCTCTCTAGTTCCACAATCACTGGTATCTCTACTATCGACAATCATGCCATTGATTCTACATCCCGGCCTTTTCATCATCTCAATGTTCCTGAAACTCAGTCTCAGTGCCTCATTGAGCCTTCAGATTCTGTTCAACTTGGCTTAACCCATGCGCCTTCCCTTTCCCCACATCTAAGGTATCCCTCTCCGCGCCTACCATCTGCGCCATGCACTGAGGCTACTGCTCTCCTGCCTCATTCCTCTTCGCTATCCTCTACTAATGAACTTCATACACCCTCTATCCTCGTTGTTCCTTCCGTAAAGGCACGTCCGCCTCGCTGCATTTTTTTCATCGCTCATCAGGCTCGTCTTTTGGCTCTTGTTCATGCATATCTTCGAGCCTCACCACGAACTCGCCACTTGCCTATCTGGCGATTACCTGCTTTAGCTGCACATCGAGCCGCCCAACTTGTCGAAATGATCAATGCCTTCCCTTGTCCATTACCGTATGCATCCACGGCCCTTCTATCCGCAAACTCATTTTATTCAGGCACTACCGATGTAGTTTCCATGCCTAGAATTTCAGCTGCATCTACCCTTCTATGTCTGCTACACGCCAGAACACCAGATACTGCATTAGCTGGTCTTCGTGCTGGTCCGGATACTTGCGTAATCATCTTGGATGCGGACTGGCGGCCAGGGTTGCAGGACGCCTTGCGAGCAAAGTATGCTTTTTTTTAATTTGAGATATTTACTTTATATTTAAATTAAATCTTGCCACAAAATGTATTGTTACTTCACCTTTAAATAGACATGTGCATTACAAGGTACTTAGGACGTTGAGGAAATCTTTAAACCGTCTTTCAAAGATCTCAGCTATAATTCTCTATCTCGAGACTAGTGGTATCTTGACATATCGTCTTATCACTTATAAATGACAATAAGAAGGTTAGCAATACGCACAATTTCAATCGTTAACACAGACTCATTCGTCAAGTGAATTATTTACAATTTAAGTGTACAACAGTTATAGTATGAAAAAATGCTTCATTAGTAGCTATTATTATGACTTCTAGTACGCATAAGTTGTTCTATACAGTTTCCATGATTACTTCTTTTCCTTCCAAGTTCAAAACATTTCATCTCAATATATCATCTCTAAGCCCGGCATCAGAAATTGGACTCCATCTGAGTTATCTTCCTTTTTGAGATGTTGCTTGATGACTGCAGATTACTTGCGCTATATTAAAGCTATTAAGACCAAGGAGTGGCCTTTTGTGTGGTCGCAGTCTCTTTTCGTTGTATAGATGTAGTTTGACCTTGTTTTTGCGACTTGTCCATATTGGTAGATAGACTTGGAGGAAGTTATAGACTTGGTATTACGCATAGAAGCAGGATAGACGCGTCGGAGACAAGAGCTAGTTGGCTGACAGTAGGCCTCTTTTACCATAGACGTGCTTCATGAAGCAATGGCTTGACCATGAGAATTACTCTGGGACTTTAGCCTCAGGTTAGTTTCCCACATGCATAGTATGGGAAATAACACCTCGACTAACAGAGATGGACTAAAAGGAGTCAAACGAAATACTTAAACCAGGTAGATACAGACGGATCCTACGGAGCAAGCTGGAGGCTCTGATATGACCTAGGGAAGGAGGAGTGCGTAACAATATGGCAGATTGATCAACATTCTCAGAACATGGGTAAAAGTGGATGAGGGGTGAGAAAGCTAGCATGGGGTGTGGAAAATTCTCATTTAATCCGTTCATAAGGGCACACCGTGCCACATTCAAATATGCAAGTAAAATTGTGATAGTGAATGGGTAATAAGAGGATATAGGATTGGTGATTATCCAAGGGCGAAAGGAAAAATACCTCGATTGTTTAGCAGACAATTGGTCAAATGATAGGCTTCACTTGTCTCTTTGACGAGTTGTAGTGTGGTGCTAAGAATGGCAATACTCACTGACAAGGCCGACTACGATGCCGGCGAAACGTCTGGGAATTTACCACGTCCGCGGTCCGACTGGAAAGTATCATGCATACACTGGACTCCGGACTAAGTGCATTTCCTCTATCAATATTTCCTATCAATATGAGCAAGTTGTGAAAACAAGGTCAACCTACTTCTATACTTGCGTTATAATTTTCCATTTACTGGCACTTAACAACGGACGTGGCATTTAATATAATACATTTTTTATTGAGTGTGACAATCTGTATTTGCCTTCAGTGATCATTCCATATAAGGCCTTAAAACTTTTTAAATCAACTATATCGATGTTCCCAATATCGTCATGGCAAAAATCTTTATTTATGGGCTTTTGAAATCAATTTTGCCAAGGCGATAGGTATATTTTATGATTGCTATAGCCATGATCCCATTTAATCATTAAAGCGCTCTTATCCTAGGCTTACACTTACATAAACACAAAGTTTATGTTGACTTGAATCCTCGATTGTTAGAATAAATGGCTTTTAATTCAAAAAATTTGTTTTATGCCATTATAAAAATCTTAAAATCTAAGGGAATCACGCGTTACATAAAATGCTTATCTTCAAAACGTAATTGTTTTATATTGGAATTGCTTTCTTATAAAAGCAAATTTTTCGAGGTCTTGCTACCATGACGCAGTTGTGAAAAACAAGTCAAATCAATTCCACACAGCTAAACAAGACGTTCTTAGTGCTGCGTCCTCAACAATAGTATTCTTGATTTCCAGCATCGAACCATTGAATTTATACATTCTCAGACCTCTCGCCGGCACCATCAGTGAGAGGCGTTATCGTTAGCCGGCAAAGGTCTGGAAATGTACAAATTCACGAAATGCCGTAGAATTCACGAATATCATGGCACAGGATGCATAATTAAGTCCGTTTCACAAGGTCTCCCTGACGCTCTTACAAAGTTGCGAAGACTAGGTCAAATCAATGTTATGCGCTATCGAAGGTATGAAGATCAAGGTTGTGTTGCCTTTTGTATGGTCTCAATCTCCTTTCATTGTATGAAAGTCGCGTGACCTTGTCTTCGCAACTTGGTCATATTGGTAGTAAGACATAGAGGGACGCTCCTAGTTCGGAGTCAAGAGTATCCATGATAATTTCCTATTCAGATTATACAACGTCCACGGTCCTACTGGAAATTATCATATATACTATGGACTCCGGATTAGGTGTGTTTCTCTAGGTTTTCCTACCAATATGACCAACTTGCGAAAACAAGGTCAAGAAACTATTATGTGCGCTAGTTATCGATAGTGCGACGTTTTAACTTCGCTTTTTTCTAGTCATGCCCAACTAAAACGAAATTTTAATAGGAAAAATTGCATTGACAAACAATTGGTTATCATTATGTTTACATGCTTATCACCTACAATTTTTTACCTCTGTATTATTTCGCAGAAGTTCTTACTGGCAAACTTTCAGTTGACCTAAATTACTTTTTTATTTGACTTAATACAAATGAACCTTAACTTTTCTATAACCTACTTTTTAACTAATTAAATATATTCAAATGTACGAAGTCCGGGATGGTGT